AAATTCTTTCCAAACAGCTTGCATTAATTTGGTAAACCTACCACAGTTGTCAAGTGGGCCTTGGAGCACATCAGAGCCTCCCTTTCTATTTACAAATTTGTGCCTTGCATGGAGAGCAAATGAGAATATCCTCTAGTTTCCCAGTATTTATGTGGAACTCCAGTCATGCAAAGTTATAACTAACCCCAGGACTGGCAAGCTTTACAGCACAGGATCATGGGCTTCCTTGAATAGTTGCACATCCCTCCATCCCAGTGGCTGATCTGCTTGCTTCGTATCAGTTAGCTACTGAACAGTAGTTATTTGGTATGAGAAGCTTCCAGGTGACAATTTCCACAGGCTTCTAAATGGATAGGGGAGCCTTCGTATTGGTGCGCTACTGCAGCTCTAAGATCTCTGTAGATCTCCACATAAGTGCCTTTTCTCATCCTAGGTCTACAGCACGGTCCTTTGCAAGCAGTTGATGCCTGTTTCACTAGCCCAGAAATGGTGCTGCCCAGAGTGAAGCTGTTCCATCAAAAGTCCTTCCAGAAACAGCACTGTCTTCATTCTCATTCACCTATTGGTATGATGGTGGGTGGGAGGTAGCTTAGCTGCTGCTGGAAAAACTATTGCTAAAGTTGCTTGGTAATATACTGGTGGCTTGCAAAGCTGCCTCTCTCTGCTGACAACATATAAAATAAGTCTGTACAATCTGCCGCGTATTTCTGAATAGCAGCTTCGCAGCATGGAGGGCTGTTCTGTCCTTAAGTGGTCTGATGATGGTTTGAATACAGTGACGCCTAAGGAAAAAGAGTTGGATTAGGGGATAGTGGCAGAATGATCACAGCCAATTTGATGTTTGGTCCCTAGACCAACTCCAGGTTCTCCAAAATGTGATATGGGCATAATCCAATATGCTATAGGTCCCTGCAGTAGCATGGAGGAGCATGGCATGCTCATCCATAACATTTTGATGTATAACTCGGAAGAAATTCTGCTGGATAGCAGCAGTGCCTCATAGGGAAGTTAAAGCTGACTGTCCTTTTGGATCCAGTTAAAATCTGCCCTCTACTAGGTATCACTGCAAAGCAACCCTCTCCATGTTGCTCGCAACTTTCTTTTCTTATCCTACTGTCTTCCGTGTGAAGGAGAACTGTTGAAGTTGCTGTTTAGGCAGTATCAGTGATAGAAACCTACATCTACCTTACTATAGAAAGTCCTAGAACTGACTTCCTCACTTTCATTCTTTATCTTTGAGTAACAAGAACAAGAGAGCTAAGGAGAAGTTTGTGCCCCTTCACTATAGCTCTTGAGAAAATCCTTTTTTTCTTATCCATATCAGTAGTTACCAAGAACAGTGCAATAGCTCTAGATTGTAGGAGGGACATGGGAACTGGATTCTCTCCATGTTTTCCTTAATGAGCATAGATGGGAGACTCCATGAACTGGAGACAAGCTTCTCTTCCCTCCCCTCCCACAAATTACTGGATTCATAGATGTTAGGGGCTGGAAGGGACCTCTCAAGATCATCAGGTCCAGCCCCTCTGCACTTGGGCAGGAAAGACTGCTGGGGTCAGATGACCTCAGCAAGGTGAATGTCCAGGCATTTTTGGAAGACATTCAGAGTAGGTGATTGTACCACTTCTGGGCGGAGTCTATTCCTGACTCCGGACACTTGAGCTGTAAAGAAGTTTTTCCTTATGTCTAATCTAAAGTGGTCTTCTAGCAGTGTATGACTGTTAGTCCTGGTGTGAAGGATATTTGCCTTCAGCTAAGCCCTCTTGATTATGGATGATGTTTCTGTTTATTAGCTTTGGTTCTGGTGCCTTCAGTGCTGAAGGAAAATCTAGTAGAAATATTTACACATCTCTCAAATGATCTTCCAGTATCAGAGAAGATTCCCTTTTCAAAGTCAAGTGTGTTACAAAAAGATAGAAATAGGTAGGTCAGGAACAGGAAAGACCAGAGATCTAAGAAGGCTTCCACTGTCAGGAACTCCAGCGAATTGCTTCTGAAGAAGGTTAAAACTGTATCTCCTGAATTTTGAATAGTATAAATTATAGAGAAATAACCTGTGTATTCAGCATGCAAATTATAAGACGATTCGTTTTAAATACAACAATAAACATTTAAAAGGATTGAGTCTGGGTTCCCATATAGGGGATGAGTAAAGGAAGCAAATGTTTTCTTTGGTTTTTTAATAGGATTGTCAAACTATTTAAAAATTTTATTGCAATTAGTTGTGTGATTAAAAAAAATGAGTCGCAGTTAATTGCTATATGAATCGCACAGCTAAAAACTTCAAAATTATGCACAGAGAAATGCAAAATTATGCAGCTCCCTGCCATGGTGCACACCCCTGGGGGAGGCATGCGGGGCATGTGCCCCCCAGATTTGTGTGTGGGGCAGAGACAGGCTGCCTGCTTTGGGCTGGGGCTCTGCACCCTGTTGCCTTTGCCCCAGGAGCCACATGACACTTGTGCCTATTGTCACTGGGGGGGCAGGGGATGTGCAGAGCGGCCAGTGCATGGCTCCTGGGGCAAACACAGCAGGGCACAGAGCCACAGCGGGCAGCCTGCCTCTGCTGCATGCACAAACCTCGCGGGGGGGGCACATGCCCCCCCCCCCCATGCCTCCTCCAGGGGTGTGCACAGCAGTGGGGAGCCGTGCCCCTGCATGAGCTACCTGCAGCTCCGTCCCACAACCTGCCCCAGCCCCATATTCCCCTGCCCCACTCCCTCCCTCACCATGGAGGCCTCGATCTGCACCCCCGCCCCTTCCCCTCAACAGACTTACCTGCCAGGCACCACTCCACACACTGCCAGGCTGTGTTCCTGGCCATCTACATGCTGCGGTTGCTCGTGTGTGTCTGTCCGTGTGTCCCCCTCTCTTCCTGCTGCAGCAGCCTGGAGCCTGTGCCCGGGCTGCCCTGTACTGCTACTGCTGCCACGTTCCGCTGCACTGCCACTGATGCCCCTTGATCAACACAAGAACCCAATTAATGTGTTAATTATGCACGTTAACAGTGATTAATTGACAACCCTATTTTTTAAGTTTCTGGATATAAGTAAAGTTGGTATTTATACAAAATTGCTGGCTTATAATGGAGAGAATTTTGCTTTGCAGTTTTTGCCATCTAAAGTTGGAGTTACTGTTCTGTGCTTTGACTGTATATAAAAGTGCTAACTAAAGGGAATGGAACTCTTGAAATTTTATGTTTTTAAAAGAACAACTGGGTGCAAAACTCATTGCTCTGAAATTGCCCGTGATTTGATCACCATTCCTATGGGCAAGTGCATCTTATGCTCCTCGTTATGCTTTTTTGTGGGACAGAAGTCCCACCCTCAACTGCCTCAGACTTTCTCACTGGCTGCTCAAATAGGGAACATCCAGAGGGAACAAGTATTTCAAATAAGATAACAAGTATTTTTGGGGAAATTACTTCCTCCTCCCATCTCTCCCATCCACTGGCTGTTTGAGGGAGAGGTGTAGATAGTATTTCTCCTTCCACTGAGACCAGAGTAGTTGGAAGTGCCTCTCAACAGTCCAACCTACCACGTCGTTCAGTTCCTTTCCTCTGTTGTGGGCACGCAGTTTATTGCTGATACCACCACCTTGGGTATCGATGGTATGAGCTAGGACATCATAATCTGTCACAATCAAAAGAGTGCTAATGAGTTTGTAAAGCATGACTAGAATGGTTGGCTTCATGCCCTTGTGTATGTAGTGTTTTTCATGATTTGGATAATTCTTGAATGTTAATAGTTTTTAAGGGTCCCGTATTGGGCAAATAGAATTGTAGTATCAGTCAGATGCTGAGTGCCCTCTTTCAAACAGAAAGCTAAAAATGCACTGTGCTGCCTTTTTACGGGGATGAGTAATCTGGTTAAAAATGTGGGGAGATGATTTTGGTGCTTTTTTAAAGAGACTGAGGGCATGATTTTTCAGCAGGGCAGAAAATCTTATCCACCTCTCAGACTTTAAAACTTCAGGAACTTGGTGCAAATTGAACCAGCCACTGTCCTTTCTTCCCAAAGTGTTGGATATGTGGGGGTCTGGAATATTATTGGAATTCCAGTATTGAATAATGCTGAAGCCATAGCAGGGGGTCACTTTTGACATGACCTCTGCTAACCTTGGGGGACATTAATCTTGTAATAGATCCAACACTAAGAGAACTAAAAAATCCTGTTCTGCACAGTCACTGCTTCTACGAGCTGGGCCCAAGACTATCACAGGTAGATCTCTCTGTTGTGTGAGAATTGCCATGCAAAGTCAAGGGGGTTTTCTATCAGGCACAGTATGTTTTGTGTCTCCGTCTTTTCCTCTTTATTTTTGTTCTCCCTTATTAAGTGAAGAAACGTAAAACATTTTGATATGATGGCTTTTTATTATATATTTTTTATGTACTGCAATTGTCAGTGGTGTTTTTAAATTACATAATAAGCTTATCTGATCAAAAAGGCCCTTTAAAAGTCTGCATACATCAGAACTGACACAGGCTCCTTAAAAAGATGCATTTTGATTATCAGTATTATTTAAAGCACAGGTCCTCAACTGTTTTGCCACAGCATCCCACTTCAGTAAAACGCAAAAACTTTAAAATAATTTTTCATTATGAATAGTTTTTATTTACTTCTATGCATTTAGGTGTGAGCAATGAAAAACAACTATTATGCTGCAACTTGTGGTCCTCCTACAGTAAAAAGCTGCTGCAATTTTTTGCAGTCTGGATGTACTTCTCTTTGAATTTCCAGAGAATACATCTGTTAGAATTAGATTTAGCTAAACCTAGAAGTGGCACTGAGCTTGGGGATGTCATTTTGTTATGTTTAATTGGTATTTTGTACTTCAGCACCTTTTAGCCGTGATTTCTGAAAGCCCGTTACAAAGTTTTTAAGACTGTTTCTGATTTTATTGTGAGATCAAAACGCATTCAGATGCACCTGGCTTAATCAGCTCTAAAAATGCATTTTAACTACTTTACAATGATGATTTTTTTTTTTTTTTTTTTCCAGATCAAGCTGCAGAACAATATATCGTATCAAATGGCAGACATACATCGTTTAAAGGGTAAGGAATATTCAGTTCAAGTGTGATATGGCATATTGTGGAATTCTCTGGGTGTTGAGGAACGGGCCCGAAATACAGTATTTAAAGCATATATGGCGCTAAAGCATTAACAAATGGTAGCTCATCTCCATCGTGTAAACTCAGGTTTTATGAAATATTGCATTATGTTCTCAGGCTTAGATGAATGTTGGGGTGGAATTTCATAGCAGTCTTTGTTATGAAGTGGCAAAGAGAGCATGCTTCTTAGAAAACAGCTTGGAGTATATCTAAAGTCTTTGTCATGATAAAGATAATATGCAATATTACATGGGCTAATAATATGAAATTTATATTAAACATTTAGTGTAAAAATTATCAGTACAGCAGAGAGAGAGAAAATCCTCTGAATTTTGCAGAGCTTAGAGACCTGTGGAATTAGAAATGGACCAGAAAACTTCACTTACGGTTGGTTTGGATTTTCCTTGTGTGCACTAGGAAGATTGCAGCTCTGTGCTCCATATGCTGTAATGTTGACTTCTGCCTTTCTGAAGATCTTGAGCTTATGTTTAAAGCAGTTGAGAGGAGCCATTGCCAAAATTTCATACCTGCCTGCAGGCCAAATAGATTTAATTACTGAGTGTATATAAATAGATGTAACTTAATAATAAAATAGTAGGCAGCTTCACAAATATTTCACATTTGCAGCTTGCACAAGAAGGGAAGTTTCTAGAGCAGCTGCTTATAAAATGAAAAACATATGTCAAATATTAATATAGATAAGTGCAAAAGTATTATATTTGTTTGAATTTCACTCTTTTCAGTAAGAAAAGCATAGAACATGCCTGCTGTATTTTAAAAGCAGTTTTTAACAATGTAAATTGCTGGCCTCTCTTGAGAGGCTTCCAGTTATTGCCACGTGTCAAAATCAGCTTGAATATTACTTCCCACAAATAGGTACATCATCTTAATGAAGATGTGGTAATAGTTAAAATTTCCCCCTCCTTCCTTCACATGGAAAGTCACAGGTACTGTCCTCAAAGTTTTAAAATAAACTTTGCTATTGGCTTCTAGTCTACATGAATACCTTGATACATCAGGCAAATATGCAATGTATATTAAAGATTTTGTGAACAGTTAATCAAGAATATTTTTGTAGGAAAGTAAACTGGCATATAGGAGCATCTCCTCAGATAGGAGTTGCCAATAGTAAAAAGTATGCATGTTGGGAGGACTTCTTCCTACTCGCTTTGATTTGTATTATTTGGCTTAGAACAACTAGCAGAGTTACGTCAGGAATTCATCCGTCAAGAGGACCAGCTTCATGAGTACAAGAAGAACAATACTTACCTTATGAGGAGGTTGGAGTACGATAGGTATGGCTTGGAATGTTTGTAGCAACTATAGACTTGTGCACTGTTTTCATAAAAGTAAACCTGTGTTAAAACGCAAACTGGGAACTTAGAGCTTGTTCTCTAATCCTCAGACATAAGAGTCTCCAGTGGGAAGCTGTCAAATCAAAGGTGGTATCAGCACTGTATTTGAAGCCCCTGTTTTCTGGTGCTCAAGGCTGGCTGAGAATGGAAAAATGTCTGGAGATTATAATGTGTCAAGATTGTGCCAATTTTTTTTAAAGTTTGACTTAAAATGCTCCATTTCTGGAATGTCAACAATTGACTTGAGGGAAGAGCTCTTATATTTAGCCTGCGGCTCTTTGGAGCATTGAGGCTATCTGTGTTCATCAAAGTCTCCACGACAAATTGATTTTGTTGGAATGAAAGTGAAAATGTGGATAGTTAACATTTCAAGTCATTTGCAGCCTTTCTTATTAATATTTGATACGTGTACTCTTAAAAGAACATCACGGTGACAAAAGTCAAGCACTGAGAACTTAAGGTACGCCAAAAGCAATGTTGCCTCTGCAGCCTTACATGATTCCCTTTGCTCTCTTTTTTCTGACCGTTTGCACTGAAGCCTTGATATTTTAAAGTAATATATTTGTATTCGGTTTCGTATGTTTAAGGGAGAAACACCCACTGCACAAAAATATAGTCCACCTTGCTGCATCTTGTCGACAACCACGTAGTTTATCGTCAGCGTTGTATCGTTAGATCTGCCCCGCAGATTGGCCGCTTAAACTAAGAGTGACTCATAATGATGGTTGGCAGTCATTCTCTCTCCGAGTGGTTCTCACATTTTTTTTGATGCACATATCCCTTTCTAAGAGTGTTATGCTGCCGTGTGCCCCTATTATTTTGCATCGTGGATATTAAAAAATTAAAGTATGTCACTTACAACCACACTGTAAGCTCTTCAGCACCCTAAGAGATATTGTAGACAACTTCATTTTTTTTCTTTTCTTCCTTTTTCTCTGTTTATAATTTTGCTTTCCCTTCTGCTTTCCCATTCCTTCCACACATACCCTTTAGAAATGTGTTGCATACCCAAGTTTGAGAAACACAGCTGTATGTGAACAAGCACTAGGGGAGGGTGAAACCGTATGCCAGAAGGTTTCATAGATATTTGCTGACAGCAGAATAATGACAAGACTTGGGGATTTGGGGTTCCTTTCACACTTCTGGAGAGAAATGTGCTTAGACCTTCAGTCCTTTTCTCCTCTGTGGCTTTTAGTCCAATTCCCTTCTCCAGTCCTCAGGCTTCTCACCCCAGGCCCAGATTTCTTGTCCCGGTGTCCTGCCCTCTTCTGTTTGTGCCAGTTCACTTTTTTCTTGAGGTAGTTATGGGAAAACTGGTATGAAGCAAACAATGTGTGACTGTAAATGTGCTTCCTATTAGTTTGCAGTGTGGACAGCAGATCAAAGAAATGCGAATGCAACACGAAGAAAATATAAAGAGGTTGGCGGAGCAAGCTGTACAGGAACAAAAGGTAAATAATGGCTAAAAATAATCTCATCTTTGAAACAGGGATTTTTTGTTTCAATGCCCAGGCACCTTCATTATTAATCACAGTCAATTGGGACTAATTTAGAAGTCTGGGGCATTAGCTGTGGCTTGCCAAATGGTTAACTTGTAATTAATTATGTTTTTACATGTTCTGTGCTGTACTAAAAAACCTCTGTTTTTAGAGAGAAATGGATTGCGTAGTATTATAATGTTGGGCTGTGTTGTGGCAGGTGCAGCAAGATAAACATTACCTTGCTATTTAAAAACTTACATAAGCAGCAGCCTAAACAATTATGCATTATGCATATTTCTGTAAACGTTGCACGGATGTTGGTAGCTGCCACTACAATAATTCCTCTGCCTTTTAAATAAAGTGCCATTTATTCTCCAGTAAGTACTCCAAACACCAAAATACCGGTTATTTTAAATACGGATTCTTGCCTTACATTCTTGTCAGTATTTGCAGAAAGGGGTAAGAACTGTATCATAACTTCACAGTGAAAAGGTTTTTTCCTGAGGTCTAACCTGAATCTCCTTTACTGTAATTTAAGCCCATTATTATTTTTCCTATTTCCAGTAGTTATGGAAGGGAGTTCATGACCTTCCTTTTTACAGTCCCCTTTTGCATTTTGGAGGATGATTATAAAGCCCCCTTCGGGCTTCTCTAGACCAAGCAAACTTAGTTCTTTCGGCCTGTTCTCCTACACCAGAGCTGTCCGATTTCAGAGTGTCTGGGGGCCACGCCAGCCGCGGACCCAGGCCACTTACCAAGCAGACCACACATCACAGGGGCTAAGGCTAAACACTGTGGGGGCAGCATGACTGGACAAACACCTGCCTGGGGTCATCTGTCCCCAGCACTCGTTCCTGCCCAGGGCAGGGGGTCGGACTCGATGATCTACCAAGGTCCCTTCTGACCTTAAAATCTATGAAATCTGTAGAGCCCTGAGCAACGTTACGGGAAGGTCCCCAGGAGTCGACAAGCACTTAGCCATCACCACCCTCTGGAACCTTCTTGCTAGGGAAGAGGAGAACTTATTAAGAGTGCTCCTGTGACTGCACCAGGACAGGGAAATGCTTTACCAGAACCTCAAAGTCTCCACTGTATCGAAGGCCACAGAAAGATCTAGTACGGTCAAAAAGACACTGTTTCCCCTGTTGATCTCCAAGCAAAGATCGCTGACCCAAGGCCACAAGCACAGTCTCTGTGCTTATACCCAGAATGAAAGCCAGACTGATGTAGGTCCAGGAATCTGATGGCATCCAGATGTAGCTGGAGCTGTTCTTCCATCCAGTAAATGCTCTGTACAACCCCACCCATTTTATGTTCTTTTCCTCTAGATAAAAATGTAATTATTGTTAGCCCCTCGCTTGGGCGCTATGTATTTCCCTACCGGCTTTGTCATCTTTTCTGGATTCACAATCCTAAACATCTACTAATAAAAGTCAATTTATACTTATAGCCAGGCTGCAGCTTAGCAGCCTGTTTTAGTGCTGACCTTAATATCTGTAAAATAAATTGCAGGTACAAAGCTGAGCAGTTGCACGCTTACTTAATATGTAGCGGGTAAAACTGTAACTACTCTGGCATATCCATTCTGGGGACATGCAGTTTCTACAAACGGCTGCCACCTTTCTCCACACTGATAATATCAGATACCTTGCTGAAATTTCTCTCTCGCAGTAAATGGGAGACATTGCTTTGGTAGAAGGCCTTCAGGAGCGCTTAACGATAGTGATGCTCTTGGTGGGGAAAGATGTGGTCGGAGCAGTCTGTCTGAGGCTGCTGCAGTTGAGAAGTCTCGAACTGAAGAGTAAGCAAATCATTTTTTTCCTTTTGAAGGTCGTGTTTGTTAATGTCCGTTTAATCTGTTTTGACAGCAGGGTACACAGAAAACCCAGGCCAGTAAAGACGCGGAACTGGGTTTGACTGAAGATGATCAGGCCACGTCAAAGAACGTTCAAGAGACAGAAGGAAAAAATGTAGTGAAAAATGAGGAACCCTCAAATCACCTTGCAAGCAACAAAGGTACTTCCTTTTGGTGTCCCTTTGGGTAAACATAGACTATAATAGTGTTATTCCTCTGGATTAAGCAAAATGATGAGTTTTCTTTTTTATTGTAGGACAGTGAGGTGTCTGCCTTTGCTCTTTTGTGGGTAGTTACATATCCTGATTGCAGAAACCATCACGTGGGTGCCCTTCTCTCTCCTCGTAGGGCAGATCAGTCCCTGAATCCAACCAAGGTGGTTTTGATCCCTCCAGAACACAGTTGAGGCACACTGACAGGAGGCTACCATGGGAAAGGTTGGGGGATTGTTACCAGTGTTGCTTGTTCTGTAGCTAAAGGACTTTGCTCAAGTGGTGCCAGCCTAACACACCCTGCAAATGTTAAATTTACTCTTTTAAGCTGTAAAAGGACAGTAAAGAAGCACTTTGTGTGTTTATTTTGACAGAGAAAATCAAACCAGGAGGTGATGCAGGCATGCCCGAAATAGAAGAGAATGACCCCGCTAAAGTTGAAGACACACCTACTGGTTAGAAAAAAAAATCACGTTCTAATAATTATTCAAGGCTTTTCTATTTTATGCATTCTCATTTAAATGTAGCTTTGTGCCACTGGTTGGTGTTAGCTAATTTGATCTAGACAGTTTACAATCCATGTGGTAGTACTAAAACTGTTAATCTGATCAAAAATATTAAAGGAAAAGTTTTGCAAGGTGCTTGTGAGAGCAGAAATTAAGATATTTTAATGTCTCCATTGTCACACTGCATTTTTTTTAAAAAATGGAATAAGTAAGAGACGGCTAAATTAAAGACTAGTAGACACTGGTGCTTGCTTTGAACAGAATTTTTAATGCAAATCCACTTATTGCATTTAGCTTTAAAGAAGCCACGTATTTCATCGCTTCAAAATGAAGGCCATCAACCCAATCTCAATCTTCCCTCTGCACCGCCCCATGTACCAAACGTGGCTCCAGGTATGGTTCACCAGCTCGTATCAAATCTCATAAGAGGTGCACCAGCTAAAATCCCACCCAGCTGTAAATTAGTTAGCTTGGGGTTGCAGTTGGGTAAATTCTGTTACTGACAATATTGGGGAAGAAGCAAGCTGCAGCATATGTTGTTGTGGAGGCATAGTTGTTCTTTGGTGGGAAGCTGGGTTTTCCTGGACAGTGCTTCCAACTGGATAGTCAAATGCTGGTTTTGTTCGAGTGGTGAAACACAACTTAAATGTGCATGTGCAACATGACCAAACAGCTGTTTATAAGGTGTCCTTTTTGGGGTATACGTCTTGGGTGCCAGTAGGACTAGCAGTGAGCAAAAGGAAAACGTCCTTTATAGGGCCACTGCAGAGCCTTAAAATTAAATTAAACAAGTAGATTTTTTTTTTTACTCGGCGTTTACAGAGGCCTAAACGTAAATATTAACATTTCCAAATCGCATATCTTTCAGTAACAAGCTCTTCCCACATTAGGTTTTCTAGAACAGACCATGGCTCTGGGTTTGCTGAGTAAAATGTGTTTTTCCTGCCTTCATAAGAAAAGCAAGTGTAGACCCTGTCAGTAAAAGAGGGTCTCTGAAGTGATAGGAGTTTGGTGTCCAATTTCAGAGAACAGGATTTCCCCCGCTGAAAGGATTCTCTGTATTCCCTAGTCATGTACCTCTACCTGCCTGCCTTATACACTGTTACAGTTTACTTGCAGCGGCTTTCTGTTTAAACCACTGCTCTAGAACCTGTGGGCACTTTTACATGTGCTCCGGCAGTGGAGAGTGGGGCGGTGCTTTAATTAGAGTGGCTCTGACGGTCGCTCTAATTAAAGTGCCGCAGCATCTTGTGTATCAGCGTCCCTGCGCTTCAAAATGGTGGCGGGGGCACTTAAACTAAAGCTCATTCGTTGAGCTTGTTCCACCCCCACCGCCTTCTGGAAGCATGGGGACGCTGATACACGAGATGTGAAGGCTGGCTGACACGCGGTAATTACCCGGCTCCAGCACACTCAGTTAATCGAGTTTGCTCTGGCGCGCTGTAATTGCAGCGTGCCGGAGCAGCCTCTGTACTCGTGTACAGGCCCCCTGTAAGTGTCGTGTATTAAGTTTTGGTTGAAATCGCAGGCAGAATCCATAGGAAAAAAGCTGCTTAGAACTGTTACACTTGGGAAGGTCACATGTTTTGGTACATACTGGAAAAATATATCTGAAAACATTAGCCCTTCATGGAAGTCCAGAATGATCTCTTTGGATTCAGCTTTGGAATCGCCTCTTTCTTCTGTACTGCATAAAAAACTAAAGAAATTTCTTCATGTTTTAGCTTTAGATGCTTACAATGATGGAGAGACTGATGCAGTGAAAAAGATGCCTCCAAATCCTCTTCGGCACTTGATTCCTGAACAAAATATGCAAAATCATAAAGAACAGAAAATTGAAATGGAACATGAAAAACTTCCAAAGGGTCGAGCCGCTGAATTCCAGAAGATGAAGCAAAGTAAGTTGGTCATCATCATATACTATGGGTGGCCTTATGAATGTTAAGCCATTAGAAAATTTAAATATATTTGAGATCTTACTGCATAGAAGAGCACATTCCTAAATCTCAAGAAATTAGAATATCATTGTTAAATGATCCCTATCACTTTAAGAAATATATACTAGTCTCACAAACTGCTCCACTCCAAATATACCATTAAATATAGACTTTCAATAAAAAAAACTAAAATGTATCTGCTGGGGTACATAAATTGCTGCTTGTGTCACATGGATGATTTGACTAAATAGGAAAAAATAAAAGTTAAAGGTTATTTCTTGAGTGCTCCTATAAAAAGTTTGGCTCTTTAATGAGGAGATACCAACTTGGTTTGACTACTTTATGGATATTGGTCAGAAACTTCAGAACAGGAGACCATTTGGGTTGTCTTGGGAATTTTTTTTTTCTTTTGACAGCAGCAAATTCAACTTGGTATATGTAGCATGTAACAGTCCTGCCAAGTGACTTAAGTAGCAGAGTGGAGGTGACACTAGAGATGCATTAAATGCAGCTGCCTGTAGGTCGGCTGTTCATTATGCAGGTTGTGTGTACTGGGCACAATACTCCGTGCTGCACTGTTGTTTTTTTTATTTATGCCTTGAGTCTTCAAAAAGTCGGGTTTCTTCTGGTGGCAGTGAGGATTGTCACCAACTGGTCTAACTACATGAAAAGTATTTCTCAAGCCCTAAATTCAGTTGCTTGGGAATGATTTGTTTAGTTCCTTGGGATGGGAACAGGATGTGTGGAAGACTCATTTTTAGCTCTGTCTGATTGTTGTGGTGGTTTAAAGAGTGCTTTTTTCCAGTTTTAAATCTGTTTACTAAACATAGCAGCCTCTGGAGCCAGAGTTAGAGCTAACGGATCGATATTTATTGGTAAGCAGGTTTCATCTAGGTCTTGTTTTTATGTGAAAGAAGCTGTTCATATTTTTCAGATGAAAAGTTCATCTGAAGAGAAGTAAAGTGAAGAGAACTCCAGGGAGGTTTTGTGTTTTCAAAATCCTAGAATTCTGTTCTTAAAAAAATCTTCTGTTTAGCTAGATCTGATTATTCCTGATATGTTTGCAATTAAAAATAATTGCATTAAAGCAGTTGTTAAATTGACTTGTGTGGACAGTCAGGTCTGGTTTACTTTTCAAAAGCACATTATCAAATTGAGAGTGGATTTGGGGAGTTCAATATATTTTTTTTACGTTTAGAAGTAAATTTTAAACTTGAGGTGAGGACAACTAACTTGTCTAGTAAGCTTGAAGCTGTTTGGCTGCTTTCATGCAAGAAATCTAGAACAATACAACGGGTTTGGGCGGGGGTTGTTTCTTTTTAAAGCAAGGCTGAATTGGCAAAATGCGTTCAACCTGAGGTCCCAAAAGAGCAGTGAATTACATTAGACTAACGTGGTTGCTCGTGTGTTTTCTGCTTTGGTGTGTGGCCCCCCTTGTGTGTGTGATCAGATGCTCTTGAGTGCAGGTTTCCAAGTGCCATGCCTGTAGTGTGCGGGGTGTCCAGCAGCGCCTCGTAGCTAAGGGTAGGTAAGGTAGCTGTACTGTTTTTTGCTCAAACAGAATCTAGGGGATGAAGGACTTTGTAGGACCTGGGGAAAAATTCAGCTGCGCAGTGCGTATGGACAGCACCTCGGAAGAATCACAGGTATTGTAGGATAAGTAATTACTCTTTTCCTTAAGTTGTTACCCTGATACAGGGGTGGTCAGCCTGCGGCATGGGCCGTCTGTGTGTGTGGCATGCAGCGGATTGGGAAGGGGACAGGCAGCACAGTGACAGATAAGGCAGGAAGCAGAAAGCTGAGCAGCAGATCAGGTAAGGGAAAGGGATCAGGGTGACGCTTGGGGAGGGTGTGGGACTAATTGATGGCACATTTGACAAAAAAGTTGGTTCCCACTGCCCTAATGCTTTCCATTTCTGGTGAGGTGCAAGCTGCAAAATAGTAAATCCAGTGACTTTAGGACAGCTTTGTCCAAGTGGGTGTTGGCTCTTTGTCCCGTCTCCGAAACAATATCTCATCTAGGAATCCTAGGTAAAGGTTTGAACTGAATTCCAGGGAGCGCTGCAGTGCCTTGTATCAGAGTTGTGCAGTGGTCTGTGCATGTCAAAAACTACTACTTCATAGCACCTTCCAGCACAGGCTAAAACTCATTCGGAAAGATGGCAAGCTGACCTTTCATTCTGTCAGCAAAGACAACAGCCATGGCAAACTCCTCAACGGTCTCCTTCTCGAAATGATGGGAGAGAATCCTTACTGTGACTAAAATACAGGGGCTAGTTTCCCTTTGACTGGGTTGAAGAAGAAAACTGGCAGAGGGTGGGCTTGATTTTGGTTAAATTCTGCAACTACGTTAGGTAAGGCCTCATCCAGTTATCAATGTCATCTTGTCCTTCTGGAATGGTATATGTGGTGGTCGTGCCATGAGGGATTGGATCTCTGGTGTTCCTCTGGCTGAGGCTCTAGCCACCAAGAAGATGCTCTTTGCAGATAGGGTGGACAATAAACAGTTCAAAGGAAGGCCCTAGTAGCACTGGCAGTGCTATGCTGAGGTCCCAGGAACATGGGGTATTTCTGATGAAAAGCCAGAAGTGAGATATTTGAGGAACCTAGCCACCATGGACTGTGCAAAGACTTTTGTGACCGTTTGGGAGAATGCCAGCGAGCAGAATTTGCTGCCAAATGAATGCTTTTGACATTAATGAAGAATCCTGAGTGCTTTGGGGCTACCACCCAACTTAAGGGAACTTCTTTGGAAGTCTCTAATGACAGAGGATGCTTCTGCATTGGCCAGAAAGAGAATCTCTTTCATTTTCTGAATAAATGAACCTCATGATGTCCTTCTGATTAGAACCCAGCATGTGTGTTAATATGACCACTAGATAGCCACATTCAGGCTGTGAGGTATAACTGAGTTTGGGGTCAGGATTTGACCTGCATTTTGCATGATCTCATTGGCTTGAGTTAGAGCTGTGCTCAGAGGCCAAGTTGAGGGAGTCACTGGATTCAAGCACAAAATCTGCTTTGACTTTGTTGGGGCTGTCATTAGCATCGGGACTCTGTTGTATCTGAATGCTCTCAGATGAGAGTCCTGACGTCCGGGGAATGAGAGAGGCAAGTCCGATTCTAGGCTGAAACCTCCTTGGTACAGAACATCTGGTCTTTTCTGTTCTGATACGTGGCAAGCAGATCTGTTCCTGGGAGTGGAATTGAGCCCCGGGATCAATTACTTGCAATTCCAAACGTTGTCTGCTGCCAAAGGTTTTTGTATGGCCATCGATATGAAGCTCTGGCTAATTCACAAGAGCCAGAGACAGATTGCTTTGTGCTGGAGGAGTGATCACTGATGAGCATACTCCTCATCGCTTTGTAGGTGTTGTAATTGCCCTAGTTTGTCTTAGAACCTGGACTCTGGTTCCTAGGCGTATGGGTAGGGGTGTTGTGGATGTGGAGACAGAAGGCACACGCTGCGTTGCAGGGTCTTCCCTACCGTAGCTCAAATGGAGAGTAAAAATATAGCTGTTTGAACTGTGGGTAAAGATGGTAAGCTAAAGGGACAACACGTCCGAGGGTGTTCAGAAGGCTTCTCACCTAACAAGGGAGCACCGTTTGTGCTCTTTTGCTTTCCACCAGACTTCCCCTTGACATCAGTGCGTTTGATCTAGTGAAGCTGCAACACGGTTGTAGAAGTCATTGTCCTACATGTCCAGAAACTTCTGGTCTTCTGTGATCACCTCCTTGTTATCAGTACTGAAACTCTTCAACAAAGGTCTTCCTTCAACTCGGGAAACAGAGGCAGGTCTAAAGGAATTGGATCAAATCTGGTGACTAGGCCGGGTAGAAGCAGTACAAAGCCTCGTTTGGTCCGTGCAGCCTGAGACGTGTGGAACGATGCACTGTCCTGGAGAAGCAGCGCTCGTCCACTCAAAATCTTGGCAGCTCTTGTTCCGATGGATTGTCACAAGGCAGTCACTAGCATGTTCTCCCGTTGGTGGTCTTGCCTGTTGACAGGTAGTTGATCATAATCGCTACTTCGCTCTCATAAAGATACGGTGGCCATAAGCTTATCATCTGATGCCGTCTTTTTTCAATGTCTTGGGAGGTGGAGACTGTATGCACTTCTATTGCATGTTGTGCTATTTCTTGGAAACAAAGTTATGAGCCAATTCTTCAGCTAGAGTCACAGTTCTGGAAGTGCATCCTGTACGCTAGCAGGTAGCCAGATCTAGGGGCTATGTTTTCAGTACCTGTAAGGCGTACACCAGTTCATGAAATGGTGCCAAGACAGCCTTGGTAGCCTGTCTGAGCCTGTTTCTGATTAGTTGCTTGAAGGCTTAAGTACTGTATTTGCCATATTTTCTACGTTTGTTTTTTTTTTTAAATCTTAATTTAGAATCAAATTAACAGTGTAGGCAAAGCAGCACCGGGATCAATCTTTTTCCTTCTCAAGTTAGTGTCAGCAGGATCCATCCCATCACCCTGAAAACAGTGCTCTTTTTCCCCCTCGTCACAGAAAACTGCATCAAGGAAGACTTGGCGTTTGTTGCTGATCCCTTAGTGGGTGAATGAGATTTTCTTGACAAGGCCTGAGGTCTGGAGTTCGTGGTACACTCCAGGTGTACTGGGGTGCTGCTGCAGTTTAGGGGCTTTCTTCTCAAGTAGTTCAGACAACGTGCGTATGAACCTCTCACAAGGACAAGTTGCAAGAGAGATTCCCTCTCCTTGTCTTTTTTTGAAAAAACAGCATATATACTGCTTTATATACTTCCCTGAGGCAGAAGAGGCCCTTCAAGTGTCTGTCATTTATAAGAACCACTACTTTGCAAGAAGAACAGGATTTTAAAACCTTGGTATTTTATCCCTAGCAAGTCTAGGTGGGCCAGAGAGCCATAGTAATGCCGTGTAGAAAACCTTTTTATTGTGCCAGTGCATTTAAGAACGGGAACAAAACGAAGAATTGTAACATGAACTTCAAGTAAAAACTAGCTAAAGAAGAGCTGTTTCAGTGCACAAAAATATAGGTAGCCATGGGTTTCATCTCATGGTCACCAACAGAAAGAAGGAACTTGAAAGGTGGTGTAGGAAACAAGGAACTGAAAGGGTGCCCTGCCCTGCAGCTGAGGACGTAAAGGGCACCAGGAGGTAGGCAAGGTGCAGGCGCAGCCCAAGGGGATGCTCCTGTTTAAAAGAACCTCCTCGTGGGACACCTCTGCAGAAGGTCATTCCGACAGTAGTGTGTTTGTAAGAGTACTTAGCAGGGGTGTGCGAAGCAGGCCCTGTTCGATTCGGATTCGGATTCGGCCCGAACTGGGGACAGCGATTCGATTTGTTTATTTGGATCGCTGTCCCTGATTCGATTTGGCCGAATCTGAAGATTCAATGCTGATTCAATTCGGACATACACGCAGCTTTAAAAGTTTTTTCTACATACCTCGAGATACCAGTGTGGCTCGTGAACACTGCGATGGTGGGGTGGTGCGTGGAGTGTCCCACAGGACTGCGGGGGGGGGCGGGGTCTTCCACATGCTCAGCGGTGAACCCGGAAGTGGACTGGAAGTAGTTCCAGTCCACTTCCGGGTCTGCCAGGGAGCCCGCTGGGTCCTCTGATTTGATTCGGAGATTCAGCCATGGAAAAGGTGGTGGTGATGTATCATATACATGTAATTAGCTCTTGGGACTTCTGCATTCAAATCATAAGACACTAACATAACTAAATCTCAGCCTTTCAGGACGCACAGCAGAGAGATTTTGAGTAAGGTAAAATCTCAAGGAAACGCTTTTAATTTTTTAATTAACATGATTATGACTACAAGCTTAAGCCTGTGCCTAAATCAAGCAAATGCATGATTTGTGTAACATATTTCTGTAACAGATTTGAAAGCTTTCATACTGGTGTATGTCAACAGTAGCTCTGACACCTGGGAAACCACTCCAAATGGTTCCTGCTGTTTTCTCTCTAATCTCTTCACTGCTTATTCTTCAATGATAAACTGCAAAACTGTCCTTTATTTAGGACTGTGCTTTGTGTGCAGACAGCACCCAGCATAGTGGGGCTTTGATCTTGTCCCTGTCCTCTAGATATCTTAAGATCTGAGTAAGTAACTGTACGTACACAGGTGCATGACGCAACTCCCGCGTCTCATCCAGACCTGTAGTGTCAGACACAATATACGTACACTGAGGTTTTTAACAATATACTACAAATCTATCATTATAAAATATGGGCAAATATTATGTCCATATTTTAAACTGTTGAAGACCTTGGTGCATAATATCAATGCAGTTCACTTTTAATGTTTCATATAGCAAAGATTTAAAATGCCTTTTTATCCATATTTCATTTTCTTGGTTCTTGTTAACTTCCTTACTTACCTGTTAAGCTACACTTGGACTGCTGACTTCTTTTGAAATACCAGAACAGTGTTTCAACCAGGGTGTTGTGGCACCCGGAGGTGCCTTGAGATCCTCTCGAGTACCATGGGGGTGCCATGCAGTGTTAGCATTGTTAGGCATGCAAACATGATTCAGGTAAACCCAGAGATTTCAAATAGGAATCCACAATGTTAAAAACATTCTGACCTATTTGGGGCTTTCTGGGTTCTTCCCTGTAGAAAACGTGTTATTTTTCCATATAAAAAACAAGTGAAAGCAAGAGCTGGCATTTTCCAAAGAGTGCCTTGAGTCTAAAAAGTTTGAGAGCCACTATACTAGAAATTGGTCCAGTTGCTTCATCATCTCCTTTCATGTTTTAAGATGAACATCACGTAAAAGTATTTTTTTGACGAAGTCTGAAAGGGTTGGCATTTTTTGGCAGAAGTTTCAACAGTTTGACTGGCACCTGTCCACATTCTCACCCTGTTAGCTCTTCAGAGATCTTATTATTGTGACGGGTTGTAGTTGAAGTACATACCAGTCTACCCACAGCATAGGGGACGGGGTCTTAAAACGTCCTACGCTGTGTTTCAGATATGCCCTTGAACAATATAGGTGCAAAGCTGAGAATACTACGAAATAATGAAAAATCCCAGAACCTACCGTTTTATTGCATGTGTAACGTTTCATATTCCTTTGGTGGTCATGGATTCTCTCCCATGGAGGGATATCTTATTCAGAAGTGCAGGAGGAGGATGTCTCTGACATGATACTGTTACAGGTGAATACCACAACCCGCTGTGTCGGCAGTGACTACAGTCAGTCTTCAGCATTATTGCCCTTCATTGTAGCAGAGTGGATTTAATTATTCTTCATCCGTGACACGCATTCGTCCGTTCTCGTCTTCGTTACCAAGTGTAGCAGTTCCACGGCTGCCTGGCAGCTCATTCTGTTCTTACTGCTGTTTTTAACTTTTTAACCTAAATCCCTGTGCCACAGCTTAAACAAACTTCCTACTCATTCTGTTACCATTGGCTGCCTAAAATGGGTCAGTTCTCTGCAAAATGAGACTTCATCCTTGTTTGTAGACTGACCATGTTCAATTTTTTCCTCATAGTTCTTAGTTTATAAAACTTAATAATAGTTTAGTTTCATTAGTACCAATTAAAAAGCATAACTGCTCCATTTTTTGTGCACAAATTAAAATTTTACTTGCTAGTCTCAGGTATGGAAATGAATCTTTTGAACATGGACTAGTTTTGATCAGTTCAGACAGCACATTATGCCATATTTTCTCACGTACAGCGGGCCCCAGAATGTAATGCACACTTTACTCTTGAAAGGCAGAAGGAAGAAGAAGAGCTCTTTCCTTGTAATGAATAACTGAGTAGCAGCAGCTAGGAAGCAGTCTGCTCATTGTTCTGCTCCCCGTTGGGAGCTGCATGCAGGTTTGACGTGACTTCTGCCTATAACTACCGTATTTCTCACATATAATGCACTCCGCAATTTCCAGCAGTTGTTTTTGGGGGACAAGCGTCTGTTGTACGTGAGAAAATATGGTATGTTTGAGTGGATTTGCAGTTGTAACTTTAACCGTGGTTTGCCGTCTCTAATTCTGATGCACTACTATGAAAATAACATAGGATGAACCAGTTCATCCTAAGAAGTTTTTGATTGTAGCCTCAGTCTCTCTCATCGTACTGCTGAAATTGTATTCTCCCATTCTTTTATTCTGCTGTTGTTTCTTAAATATTAGTCACTTGATATCTCTCTTGATTTCTTTTTAGCTGGTCTTCAGTTTAAACTAAAATACCTTATTCTGTTTTTCAGTTAGTTACAGTTCCTCTAGGTTCACTTCATATATTTGCAGATTTTATTAGCATACTGCTACCTGTTTTTGGAGAAATTGATAAATATATTGCATTGCGTTAGGCTCAGGCCTCCAGACGCTCCATGAAACGCTTTTTCACTCATTGACCCTATACCATTAATCTTTGCTCATATATTTTATTGCTATGTATCCATTTTGAAGTTCTAGCTAATTCACATTTTTCTAACACCATATTGCATTGTGTGGAACTGTTTCTGATTAGTTACTGGAAGGCATACATACTGTATTCGCCATATTTTATAAGCTTTTTAATCTTAATAGGAAAGGTTATATAGAATCAAATTAACAGTGTCGTTCAACACAAATCATTCCAAAGACGACAACTGATTTTCTGTTGTTGTTACGCGGGGCCACAGAGAAGTATAGTACACTCGAGAGAAGAGCTGATTCCTATAAAATATTTATACCGCAATACCACAAGTAGAAGACTACCAGTCCTGCTTCTAAGAAGAACGTTTTGAATTTTTGCCAATATGATACCAAAAATCATGAAAAGTCTAGTTCAGAAATCTTTATTGTGAATAAATTCTACACTTAAAGGAAAACATGAATACTGGTTTTAGAATAACGTATATGAAGCCTTTTCTCAGCTGTTTTCTTCAAAGAATTTAACTCATAGTAAACAGACACCATTAGATCAGACTGACACACACTGCTTATGGCTAACAAATCTCAAAAATCCTTTTAAATAGCCAAGTTGATTTTTTCTCCTGAAAGTATTTCATAAAACATTGATTTTTCCACAACTGCCATGGCTACAAGGACTGAAGATTTGAACCTGCAGGTCTCCTTTCATTTAGAATCCATTCTTTCTTTTCTTTCCTCTTTGCTTCTGACTTAATCCTTTGCCTACTTCACAGGCCGATTCTTTGATGAGAATGAATCCCCTGTTGATCCGCAGCATGGCTCTAAACTGGCGGATTATAATGGGGATGATGGTAACGTGGGTGAGTATGAGGCAGACAAGCAGGCTGAACTGGCTTACAATGAGGAAGAGGATGGTGATGGTGGAGAAGAAGACGTCCAAGGTGAGCTTGGGCCTTATCTCCATCCAATTTAAAGTAAAATTCACGCTGAATTTACTTGTTGAATTTGTGTACAGCCTCACTAATGTTAGCTTCCAAAATTGCCTCAACCTGAAATAAATGTTCTTTTGGTCATCTCTCAATTCTGTTTATGCTTGTCATTGCAAAACCAACATGAGTATCGTTTTCCGTGCAGAATATTTAGACTAAAGCGCGCAAGTCTTTGAAACTGTCTGCTTTGTTATGCTCATAAACTGAAGATGATTGAAATTCCACAAATAGTATTGTCTGAGCCTCTAATTGCCAGGGAGCCCAATACCTAGCTCATTGGGACGTAAACCTGCTTCTGGCATTCATCGTGCAATTTTCAAATATATAAACATACGATCTGCAACTAATCTTTGTACAAGTACTCACACCTATCTTAGAGTGCTCTGTGACTGTGATAAAATTAGCAGCACTTACCACTATGAATTGTACAAATACTTTTTGCATAATACACAGATTCAACAAACCTTCAGTTTTCCTATTTACTAAACTGCAGAACTTGGGTAACTTGGTGATAGTCTAATATTTCTACACGCATGCCTCCTGTCTTCTGTTCTGCATGCACTTCAGTGTGTTTATTGATACTCCATTGCCTGTCAGCCAGTGCACTGTCCACGTTCATATGGTGGTTTGGGAATGTGTTGTGGAAGGCTTGCACATTTGTATGTTAAAACTGTTGACAAGTTCCACATGTGTGCGCTTCCTGACCATCTCACTGTGCTTGCATATTCTTTTCCCTTGAAAAAAAATCCTAAATAGCAATGTTTGAACAGCAAGAAACAGACTTTTGTGAAGCACTTTTTCTAAGTGTAGTTAAATAGAAAAACTAAGTAAGATTAGAACCCACTGACTTCCTTCCGTAGGCAAGCATTTAAACATGCAGTATAAATTCTCTATGGCTGGGTTGGTATGGGGAAATGAATGACCACATGAGAGGAAGTACGTAAGTGTAGATCCAAACTTTAGGCAGTGAATAAACTTCCTGACAAATAGTCTGCTGCTCTTTTAGCAGAGCAGCAGTGACTAGTAAAGTTCTGATCTCTCTTACTATCCGCTTTCTTCTGAATAGGGAGGGAATTTCTTCAGTTTTCATTTGTCTGGCTTTCTGGGTATCATATGCTATTTAGTTAATATGCATTAAAATAGGCTAATGCACATTAAGCGTCACTTAAAACCCCTGGGATCCTATACACATGCAGGGAGGCTGCTCCAACGTGCTAGAATTCCAGCACGTTGGAGCAGACTTGACTGATCGAGTTTGCTGGAGCATGGTAATTACCGCGCTCCAACAGACTCCAGAGTCACGTGTATCAGCGTTCCTGCGCTGAAAAATGGCAGTGGGGCACTATAAATTTACGCTTGTTTGACAAGCTTTACGTCAAAGTGCCTTTGCCGCCATTTTTCAGCGTGGGGATGCTGATACATGTGACACTCTGGGTGCTTTTAATGAGTGTGGCTCTCAGAGCTGTGGTAATTAAAGTGCCCTCCCTCCCCCAGCCCGCACATGGATAAACGCCCCGTGCTTTTCAGTTAATGTGCATTAAGAAGGACAGACTACTGCACGTTTTTTAGTACTTCACAGTGGAAGTACTAGACTTAATTGGCATTAACTGAAGTGCGCTAAGGCACGTGTAGACATGCCTAGTTCCTTCCTTGGCTTGTCTAAGTCTATTCCAACCGTGTAGTTGGTCCAGTAAAAGGTATCGCCCACAAAAATCCTTCCTTCTTGCATATTTCCTGGAGCATCATGGCTGCAAAATCACTACCTATCTGCCTGCCTATCAAAACGAATCCATCATTATAGCAGGTTGTATATGACAGAGCCAGTTATGGGTTTAAGTAATAAGAGTAATTATGATGTGTGTTGTAAACTATTATAAATCAACATATTTTACTATTTTGTACACTGATTCCTGAGGATGCTTGTTTTATAGGATAAGCAGGTGGGAAATTGAAACTTGAGAGGAGCAGAGAGATTAGTAAATTATTTGTTCAAAATGCCTTGGATTGCAAATTGTTATAATTTATTTGTACTGAATATTTATTTGGGTCTACTAGTAGCAAAGAGATCTGAACTTAAAATGGATTTGTAAAGGGCTTTTGCACTTACAAACATGATACCTGCTGGTCAGCAATTGGAGAGATTTTACTTTTGACTTAGTAAAGTTTAGTGTGATGCGTGAGCAGCTTACGAGTAGCAGATACGAGCACTACAGGACTGACACGGAAATGAGGGGGCTGGACCTGAAGTGTAAAAGAGAGGCAAATCGGTACAACCTACTCTCCCCCCACCTGCTAATTATTTGTTGCCTTATTTTGATGTAAAAGCCAAATGGTTGGGAAGAGGTAGCACACTCTTTATAGAGCTTCTCCTGAACTGTCATGTCAGTTTATCTGTGTTTTTGGTGAAAAAAGTCCTTGTTTGAATACTTGTCAAGAAAAAGTACAAATCTCTGACTGAAGTAAAAGAAAAATGTTTTCAAAAACATGCATGGCTTTGGATTAGAGCAGAAAGTGCAAACTAACTAAGTGGTGCTGTTCCCCCCCCCCCTTTTAGCAGTGTTTTTAAGCACAATGTTTGCAAATTTGATGTTCACATAAAAGGTAACCCCAGGAATGCACTCGTGAATGGTAGTAACACACTTAAAGCATCATTCTTGCCTCTCATATTTCAGTCTGTAGCTTAATTGAAGTATCTTAAAACCATGGCAACCTGGTCCAGAAGCATATCCCATGATTTTGATTGAAACCTAGTATGAACTCAGTATGTTTGAAATCTCACCTTCAATTTAGATGTTAGCCCCAAAATCCTTTCTGTCTACCTGTGGTGAGAGGGTGGAGAAAAGAAGTTGTTACAATGTTCAAGTTGTTGTAACAGTTATTTGATAGCTGCCTGGTTGACTACTTCCAGTACAGAAAGAAGGCTTTGCAATGCCTAAACCATGAAAGATTGTATGAATCAATTGAATTTCTCTTTTTTGCCCATGTACTATATATCAAGTACCTATCAAGTAAATTTAGCCTCTGTGAAGTGTGGTTTGGCTTCTGAAGTCCTTGCTTTTATTGCAGTATGTAATATTGGGCTGAGTCTTCTCATCAGTAGGAAGCCTATTACAAGGATGTGATACTAACCTTCAAAAAATTACTTTCCAGCCCCCAAATAAGTGCGTTAACAGGGTAGGTATGAGTATACATGTAAAATGTCTGAAGATTTAGAAGCATTAACTTCTGAAAGAGACATACTTGGGGAAGATATAATTGAACCTCTTCTAGTTCATAGTTCCTCTACACTGCTTTCCTTCCATTCCTGATGACACACATCTTTACTGAGCTGCAAAAATGGTGCTACAAACTTCAAAACACAGCAGCAGCAAATTGTGGAACTTCACCTTGAGATGACAAGCCTCAAGACCCCCAGGAAGGAAAGGGCAGGACTGGGAGACCGGACAGAATAGAAGTGAGACAGGACAGCAAGGGGAGAATGCTTTGTACCTCCGTACATGGCGGTTCCCAGCTGCATTTTTGACACGTCCACATTGTTACCCCTGCACTGGGGATACGTAAGCCTGCACGCAGCGAGCATATACACACCAGCCAGGCAGGTTATCCACTATGGGTACGGGTACCTGAGCGTAAGCCCTGAAGAAAAACCCTATTGGGGATGGAGTGGGTTTCTTCAGTTAATTAAAAAATAGCTAATGAGGTAAGAAATAAAGCCAGCGAGTCAGGGAAGGAAGAGTAGAGTGGTTTAAAGAGAGAGCCTCTCCTCTATCCCCATGGTGGGCAATGAGGTTGCATGTCGCTCGGACTAACTGAAGGCTGATGGGAGAGATGCGACGTCCTGCCACTTTTTAGCACTGGGGCTGGGCGGTGGTTCTGAGCTGTTTGCCAGGGCATCATCTCCTTTGGATCTCGTTCTCCAAAGGAAAAGTGTTTTTCTCTACGTCTGGGTCATAATCTGTTTTAAAATATTAATTTCATCACTCCAACATCTCGTTGGTGAAGACATTTATTGTGTGAGAGCCCTTCTAGACTTCATTCAACTTCTGAGTAGAAAGGAGGTAGCTTTAAATAATCTATTTTAGACATTATACTGATGTTGAATATGAGCACAAAATGAAGATTAGACTGATGAATTATTTAAAAATCTGTTAAGTTTAAACACTAATATTTTGTGAGGGTTTGTTAATAAAGACTTCATAAATCATATTCTTTTATAATTTTGATAAGGCACAGGAATGGTAGTATCTGAAAATGAAGTACCAAGTGAAGATCCCACCTCTGCACTGTAACAAAGAAATCAGAATGTTCTTAGAGAAATGCATTAGATGTAAAGAATGATTCTGGGTCATTCACAACCTCTAGAATTTACCAGAAAAACCTAATAACTTGGCTGCACGAGCCTCTCAAAATATGCGGTCTTGCACGGAATATTTTTCTAACACGTTTCTAGAGGAGAGGGAAAAGTAAAGAAGTTCCAAGAATAGTGTCATAGTAGCTAGGGTCAGGAGGGACCTGAACAGATCACCTAGCCCGACCCCCTGCCATGGCAGGAATGAATGCTGGGTTCACAAGACCCCAGACAGCTGATCGTCCAACCTCCTCTTGAACTTGCCCAAGGGAGGGGCGAGGACCACTTCCCTGGGAAGCTGGTTCCAGATTGTGGCCACCCTAACTGTAAAATATTGCTTCCTGATCTCTAACCTTAACCTGTTCTCCATCAGCTTATGACCATTGTTCCTCGTCACCCCAGGTGGTGCTGGGGAGAAAAGGGCTCTGCCTGTTTGCTGTTGATCCCCCCTGATGAGCTTGTAGGCAGCCACCAGGTCCCCCCTCAGCCTCCTCTTGCTGAGGCTGAACAGGTTCAGGTCCCTCAGTCTCTCCTCATAGGGCCTGCCCTGCTGCCCTCTCACCAAGCGGGTGGCCTCCTCTGGACCCTCTCCAGGCTGGCCAC